TCACAAGAAGAAGAGGAGAGCAGAAGATGACGACATCCAAATTGATGCACTTGTAAGAACTTAGCAATCGTTGATTTCATTTGTTTTTGAATTAATTAATTAATCCTTTTAATAGTACTCTACCTGTCCGTTGCATATGTGATGCCACAGGATATTGATGAAGACGCCGAGCAGCCAAATGATGCAGTTGAGCAAATGGATTGGCCTCAGCAAGTTATCTACTGGAAGAGCATCGCGGCAATGAACGAATCATTACGCCGCGAGAACGAGAATAAATTCAAGGGTATGATTGCTGCAGACCGTGTAAAGATAAGTGCTCTTTCTGTGAAGGTGGCTAAGCTGTCTGCTCAAAATAGAAGACTGAGAGAGGAACTAAGCGAAGCACGATCCGGAACCCTCTCTGTATACAAGGATAAGAGCCCTACAGGATTGGTGTCCAGCCCATTGATGGAGCCGCAAACTTGTACAGGTTAGATGTGGCTTGCAATTACGTTTGCGTGTTATAGTTAAAAATTGATTGATAAGTATATGGATTTATTGTTAAGGTTAAGAATGTATTGTTAACTTTACGGATCTAATGTTAAGGTTAAGGATTTATTGTTAAGGTTAAGAATGTATTATTAACTTTACGTATCTAATGTTAAGGTCAGGGATTTATTGCCAATGTTGGAGATTGATTGTTAAGTATCTTGGTTAGTTTTAAGGTTATGTAACTGATGCTATGTTTTTTTTGACAATGAAGTACCTAAGCTCATTTGTGTTTATTTTTTGAATCAGACACTCCAGGCACCGTGGGTGGCATTGATGTACAGTACGAGGGGGATGTCAATAAATCATTATTATTTGATGAAACTAATAAGGAGAGCGAGGCCCCTCCAACAGGGAGGGCCTCTCCACAACTATTGTTTTCTGATATCCACAAGGAGAGTGAAGATGCTCCGCCAGGAGAATTACCTCCACCAGAGGCATCTGCTGTTAAAAAGGCCCTTGAGGCAGAAATAAACGAGGGAGAGAAGGTGTCCCCGCCAGCGAAGGAGCTACTAACTTGTACAGGTTAGCTTGCTTTTGTACTATATGTTAGAGATTGGTTGTTATGTCTACGTATTGGTTGTTAAGCTTTTTTTTGTTTATTATATAAATATTATCAGAAACAGGCACTCAACGCGAGGGCACTGGAAGGGAAATAACGCCGGCGGTTGAAGTCCCTTCTGCAGGTGATGGGGAGACGCAAACTTGTATAGGTTAGCAACTTTTTCACCATGTGTTTAGGCATCAGTTGTTAGGTTTACTATGAAATTGTTAAGTTTAGATAGAAGGGGCTATGTTTTTTTAATATTTATACTTCGAATGGGTTGTTTGGAATCAGACACTCTGCGGGAGGACACTGGGATGGAAATAAAGCAATCAGAGAATGCCTCTACACCAGCAGTAGAGACATCAACTGATGACGAAGATGCTCCTATTGTGTTTTCAAAAGCTTTGAATAAGAGAAAGAGGGGTGCAACGGGGGCACGCGGGAAGGTGGCCACTGCTGCACCCCCTAAACGGAAGAGATGCAAAAGATCGATGAAGCCTTCCAAGTGGGTAGTCACCCCTTACACTGAAGGGAAGAAGAAGAAAGAAAAAGATAACATAGGGGACAAGGCTATAATAGAAGTGGTTGGGGAGGAGGAAGCGCAGGTGCAGGAAAACAATGCAGAGTTGGCTCCTGCTCGGGTACAAAGTGACCCCCACTCTATCTGGGAAAAACACATGAGTTCCCCTATGAGTTCAGCAGAAGAAATGTACAGAGATAAGCTGAACGAGGGGATTCCCTCCAGATGGCTTCATCATCAAGTTTGTGGGCGACAAGGACACATTTGTACATAACTATAAGGTGTCAGCAGATGTTACCGCGCTACTGACGAAAGAGGAGCAAAAAGCTCTTAACCATTTTTGCATTTGTAGATGTAACAAGTAAGTATTTACCTCACATCTCAAGTATTAACGTTTGTTGTTTAGTTTGCGGGTTTGTTGTTATGGTTTCAGGTTTTTTTGTTATGGTTATTGATTTGTTGTTTAGGTTAAGGATTTTTTTGTTATGGTTATTGATTTGTTGTTAAGGTTACGTGGTAATTGTTAAGGATACGTGTTTGATGTTAAGGTTACGTGTTTGTTGTTATGGTAACAGGTTTTTTGTTATGGTTATTGATTTGTTGTTTAGGTTAAGGGTTTTTCGTTATAGCTATTGAATTGTTGTTAAGGTTGCGTGATAGTTGTAAAGGATACGGGTTTGATGTTAAGGTTACTGGTTTTCTTCTTATGGTTACGGGTTTTTTTGTTATGGTTATTGATTTGTTGTTTATGTTAAGGGTTTTTCGTTATAGTTATTGATTTGTTCTTGCTGCTAATTGTTAGTTGCTAACTATAATTTTTGTTTTTTCCCTGTTTGCAGTTTTATTAAAGCGTACGAGGGATCAGCAGGGTCTATTACCCGGCTTGAGATCCTCAATATATTACGCGGTGGGCGACTGGATGATACAGTACGATTTTCGATTGGTATTTATTCATTAGCATATTTAACAATACTATTATTAATTACTTGTTGCCAACTTATGATAGCTTGTTGATACGCTGCTTGATTTAGTTCGTGAAAATCAGAGAGCGTCGTCCAGTATAAAATTCGGCGTAGTCCGTACTCCTAACTATCAGCACATAATATATGTTAAAAGGAACCTGATCGGGTTAATTCTTTATTGCAGCACCAGATACATGTGCCGAAACCAGATTACCAAGAGCTGCATGATATCTACATCAAACGCTTAGTCGATGAAGGGTGTACTAACCTCTTAGTTCCCATTGTCCAGGGCGATCATTGGCATCTTCTAGAGTTTGATGTCGAAAATGATATTGCTAGGCATTACGACTCCTTGAAGGAGAGATCTGGACATTGGGACCCTATGCTCAATATCGTCAAAGCCTTCAACTACATTAAAGCTGGCTTCAATGAGAACCAATTGCGCAGCGTATTCGACCCAATCAAAGTTCCATGCGAGGAGCAAAAGGGATCGTAAGTTTGTCGGAACCCTTGTTGGAATTCATTGTTGGAAACTGGTTGTTAATGTTACGAATTTGTTGTTATGTTTTGATTGAAAGCAACAATGGTCTCAATGCTTCCTTGTTTCTGTGTGCAGGTATGACTGTGGGATCTATGTCTACCAGTTCGTACAAGCGATTACCGAAGGTAGAGATGTCCTGCACGTCACGCCCGAAGAGCATAACACATGGGTGGTTCGTGCGAAGCTAGCAGCGTACTTACTGATTAAAGGCATAGAGAGGAAAAAAGAGGTGGGAAAACTTGACGATGATGACGTTGAGATGTAGATTTTTTTTGTAAATGATATATTACAATACAATTCTTTGTTGTTAATAGCAATATACACGTAACTATTATAAGATTGATATCAAGGGATAACATTAACAACAAACCCATGAGTTCAACAAAAAAACCATAACCTCAACAACAAACAGCAAAGCTTAACAACATCGCAAGATTCTGCTAACTTGTGCTTCAAATGCAACCAAACAAAATTCAAAAAGATTTCTGTAAATGATATATTACAATTCTTTGTTGTTAATAGCAATATACACGTAACTATTATAAGGTTGATATCAAGGGATAACATTAACAACAAACCCATGAGTTCAACAACAAAATCGTAACATCAACAACAAACAGCAAAGCTTAACAACATCGCAAGATTCTGCTAACTTGTGCTTCAAATGCAACCAAACAAAATTCAAAAAGATTTCTGTAAATGATATATTACAATTCTTTGTTGTTAATAGCAATATACACGTAACTATTATAAGGTTGATATCAAGGGATAACATTAACAACAAACTCATGAGTTCAACAACATCGCAAGATTCTGCTAACTTGTGCTTCAAATGCAACCAAACAAAATTCAAAAAGATCATGAGTGAAATAACAAAACCGTAAACTCATCAACAAACACAAAAGCTTAACAACACACTACATTAGCAGAATCATATTAATAGGTAGTTAACAGAGCGTATCATCATCAAGTTCAGCAAAATATTTGGTAATTTACAATTAATGATAACCTAGGGGCCGACTACTCCTCCCCCGCTCCCCTTGCTCGAAGCGCGATCGTGGTAGGAACCCCTATCGCGAGGAAGGGTAGACGGCCCAACACCTTGGGCCCGGAGAAATCGTTGCCAGAGCTCTTTCTCCACCGTCATTTGTCTGCCGTCCTAAGACACTTCAATCAATTCCGGGTCGGCGAGGGAAGGCTGCGGTTGCTGGCTTTGAGGTTGGTCAACGGACATGTCGATGGGACCTTGCTCATTGTTTGCCTGCTGCTCACGGTCTCCACTTACAAGCTGAGTGATGACGAAACCTTCCATCAAACGAAGGTCCATGGGAGAGCTGTAACGAAACCTAATCCTCTTAGGGATATCCGAATATTCCCTAATCTCTAGCAGCACCCTGGAGTCTCTGAAGTTTGTCTTCGTGGTGATGTCAGCGGAGCAGTACACGCATTGGTCGATGCCCTCGAACAGTGATTGGAGGAACTCCCACTCCCAGAGGTGGTAGGGGAGATTGAAGAGGCGGGCCCACCTAAACATGGGGTACGGCAATGCTCTTAGCCTGAGGTCCTCCCGTCAAAGCCTGAATCTGCCCACGAAGGACCCAAGATTTACAGGACTGAGCTCGACGGCTTGATCTAGTAGCTCATCAGAGGGGAATTTAACCATGAACCTATTTATAGATACCAGCTTGATCTCATAGGTCCAATCCCAGACGTCGAAGCGATACCCTAGCATCTCTCTGAGCTCGTCCAAAGATGGCAGACCCACCTCAATAGTGAGGAGAGCGAATGTAGAAAGCTCCTGAATGTTGCGGGCGACGCTATCTGGAACGGGGAACAATCGTGGGTCGGCGTGAGCTACAAGACCATGAGGGCAATCCCGGGAGATATGCCTCGAGCCATGGCAATGTATACACGCGCTATCATCGTGAGACATGATCCTTCTGGTTACGAAACGAAGGTCGTGTAGTTGTTAATGAGGCTGGAATGGGGAGAAAATGGCGGTGTGCGTCGAATGGTCTTGTCATGGATACAGGGGAAGGGATGAGGGTTAATTAAAGCGTGGTGGCTGGGAAACGCGAGGAGACAGATGATATACTGTCTGTCTTGGAAACATAATCTACTATGGAAGCATTTAATACAGATAGAAACCCACTAACTTTTTCCTTGATCACCTTGGCAACTAAAAGGCTAAAGAAGACAAGAGAGCGCTAACCTTAGCTAACAATCCATAAGCTTGACAACAGAGCGCTAACATTAGCAACCTATCCATAACCTTGACAACCAGTACATAACCTTGATAACCAGACCATGATCTTAACAAAAAAACCCATGAGCTCAATAATACAACCTTGTATAATGCCACGTCCTTCTTTACAGCCATGCTACAACCTTAACAACCAAAAAATAAGCCAAATTAGCTATCAACAGACAAATAAGCCTAACAACAGAGCTTAACGTTACAACAGGGAGCTAACGTTAGCTACCATTCCATAGTTTTGAACACAGATAGCTAACCTTAACAACCAATACATAAGCTTGACAATTAACAGCTAACCTTAACAACAAGGTGCTAACCCTATTAGTAACCAATCCATAAGCTTGACAACCAATCCACGATCTTAACAACAAAACCATAAGCTTATCAATTCACCCCGTGATCTTCTCAACCAATAAGCTATACAGTAGAGCTAAACGTTACAACAAGGAGCTAATGTTAGCTACGATTCCACAAGTTCAACAACAGATAGCTAACCTTAGCAACCAATACATAAGCTTGACAACAGAGCGCTAACTTTAACAACCAATCAATAAGCCTGACAACAGGTCGTCAACCTTAGCAACCAATCCATAAAATTAACAACCAATAAATAACCATGTCAGCCAGTCCTTTAACAACATAACAATAAGCTCAACAATACAACAATGTATCCTGACACGTCCTTTACAAGCTTGCTTACACCCCTACCAAAAAAAAAGCTTAACCGCCACGCAGTGATATTAACAAAACACTGAACTTAGTATTTGACAACCTTGTATCAGCCACGTCCTTCTTTACCGTCATTCTTACATAGAAAAAATAAGCTTATCAACAATCCCGTGATCTTCTCAACAATTCCCTAAGTGCAACAAATCAATGAGGTCTGCTACAATCTTAACAACCAATAAATAAGCCTAACAACAGAGCTAAACGCAACAACAGAGGGCTAACCATGAGCTTGGCAACAGAGCGCTAACCATAGCGACCAATAAATAAGCTTGTAAATACAACGCCAAACTTCACAATAAACACGTAAACTTAACAACCAGTCAATAACCTTAACAGCGAGTCCATAATATTTCTTGATAAATCGTTAAACTTAACAAAACAACATGTATCCAAAAAAAAATTCCTTTACAATCATGCTACAACATTAAAACAAACAAATAAGCCTATCAACAACCCCGTAAACTCAACAAATAAGCTTGAATACACGATGACTACAACATGTATTACCATTGTCTCTACTCTATGTCCCATAACCGTGGGTGAATATAACTGGCTCCATTTAATGAACTTGTTCAATAACAAGATAGTTAAGATTCGTAGGTGCGTGGAATATGATAAATTTAGATGGATCAATGTGTGAAGCACCTAGGAAGGCATGCGAAAGCTGTTGTAGATAGTCTTCTGGCTTACGTTTACACTGTATAGCTATACAGTGTTAACGTAAGCCAGAGGACTATCTCCACCAGTATTCGCATGCCTTCCCATGTGATTCACCCATGACCCATCTGAATTGATTGTATTCCACGCACCTATGAATCTTAACTATCTTGTTATTGAACAAGTTCATTAAAGGGAGCCACATGCATTCACCCACAGCTAATGAAACTAAGAGCAAACACATAAGGGGATAACGTCTTCATCAGCGTGAGGGATACCCAAGATCTTCATCAGTGTGCGCAAACCTCGTCGCCATGGCCTTCATCGGCGTGAGGACTAGCGTTGATCTTCTGGTTTTAATGGCGAAAGGAGAACTTGAAAGGTTTTGGGGAGATGGTAGCTTTTTGTTCAGATTAAATGATAGAGGGTCAACAGAGAATAAATGATGGGGGAGATCGAGGAAAGAATATCTGCGCTATCCTGTAGCTGAACAGGCGAAGTGATGGTGGTGTTGCCGCGTGGAATGTGGGGATAGGTAGGTGTCCAGGTTATATTAACTCTCCTCCTTGGGAATAGGAGGAACATTGAATGCAGTAGCAGAGAATATACCCCGGTGACCGTGACAAACAAGCGCAAGTGAATAACAGTAAGGGACCTTAACAACAGGACGCTAACCTTAGCAACCAATACATAAGCTTAATA